AGTGGATCGACGCCTTCTGGTTTCAATAAGAAATCTAACCATATTGGACTTGTCCTTTAACACCATAGGTGGTCTACCAGGAGCTCTTGCTGATAGTTTCCACTTTCTGACCCATCTGTCACTCCATTACAATCGGCTAACTAAGCTGGACCGTATACACCTGGAGGCTCTTGGGAATCTTAAAGTTCTGCAGCTGAAGGGCAATCCTTGGAGATGTGACTGTCATCTGATAGGACTCAAACTATGGTTGGAGACATTTGCCTTCAAAGGTAACAACATGGTCGAATCCACAATAAAGTGTTTAATGAATGAATGAATCAATAAATAAATAAATAATACATAGCTAAAAAAGTATCGCGCAAATGAAGAATTGAGGTAAGTACATTTCATAATTATGACAATTCTGCTGAAATATATGTATATTTATAGTGTTATTATTATTATACATTATTACCAAAAGCAAAATGTTTAGCATGAGTGTCCAGTCTTGCCCTCTACCAGTGCCATTCTTTTCTAGGTAAGTGTGAATGAGTAAACCGTGTATTTCACAGTTGGATTGGCTGACCAGCTGACAAACAGTTTTAAAGCAGATGACAAATGGGAGCAGACTCCAGATTTGGGCCACACCTGTTAGAGCTCCATGGATTTTCCCTCCAGTTGGCAGATCAAGGAACATGTTTTTGCATCAGTCTTGCATGTCTCTTTTGAACTGCTGTTGTGAGTTTATTTGAATTGCTGGAGCATGGGGTGACCCGCTGTTTATTTTTTTTATTTAATTTTTTTGCTGAACATGGTTCATTTTCAACCCCCTTTACAAGGGAAAAATACTAATCACACAAATTACGTACAAACATTTTGATCTTCGGTCATTAAAATAATATATATATGGAATAAGCAGAGCTCCATATGTTTATTCTTAATATATTTTTTAATGCACCGATTCTGCCAAAAAAATAAAGATTCAGTGTTTATTGCCTCATGACTGGGATGGTGGAATTTATTTCCATGAATTTTACCTACCGTCAATATAATCTTATGACACAAACAACTCCGCTAAAGCAACCTACACTGTTTTGCTCAGTTTTGACAGTTCATGGCTTGCTCCACGCAGAGATAAAAAAAGCTATTTTCTGGTTACCAGCAATGAGCTTTACATAAAGGCTTTGTACACTTGTTAGCCCTGCGTCATTCTAAACCCAGGGATAAACTAAACTGAGGATAATCTTTCTTTCACGTTTTACAGCACACTGCTCATAATTTTCCGAGGGTATTTACAATTAATCCTGGGTATTCTTAAACTGGCATTTCAGACTTTACATTCCCCAGGTAAAAAAGTGGCACTAAGACCACTTATAAATTACAAGTGTGAAATGTTCCTCTGCTCAGGGTTAAAAGCAGTCTTTAGAACGATGATAAACGATGTGAAAAGCCATATAGTGAAGACGACCTCCATCTGTTAGCCATTTCAGCTTCATAATTTTCTCTTGTTCTTAGGTGGAGTGGTCGACAGCGTCACATGCATCCAGCCTCATCTCATGCTGGAGCGGGACCTCCGGCACATTCCCTACGAGCTTTTCCACTCCTGCATGATCACCAGCTACAGCTACCTGTTCGCCAACATCCACTACCTGGACAACAAGCATCGAATGCCCAGCGGGCAGCTCCATCCAAGCCCCAGAGCACCATCTGGGAGTGATTTCAGCCCCCCAGGAGAAGCGTTACTCCCTGAGTGTGAGGCCAAGCAGAGATCCCGGCCTGTGAACTACAGACGCGCCATAGCCACAGTGGTCATCACAGGTGTGGTTTGTGGAATTGTGTGTTTGATGATGTTGGCAGCAGCTGTCTACGGATGTGCGTATGCAGCAATTAATGCCAAGTATCAAAGGGAGCTGAAGAAGAAAGCGAAAGAAGCAGGTTCAGGAGAGGAGCGGAAAAACATTGAAAGAGAGGAGGACAAAGAACCTCTTGAGTGACCCGAAGATCAGCATCACATGATGCACACGAAGCACAAATACACATCAGGGTTACACTCCAGATTATCCACATACTGTTGTGTATCTACAAAGTTACTTTCAAGGCAAATCAGTGTACTTGGCAGCCATATTGGCAATGCCCCTAGGGCAGCTATTTTCTAATTATGCAGATGCCTGAAATGGGAAAGGCGTAAAACTCCAAAACTATTATTATTATTATAGCTTAAATTAGGCTAGAAAAAAATGTATTGTTCAGGCTGGTCAAACAAATGCACATACATGGTCTAGACTAAAACAACAGCCAATAATTTTGACAAAAAGGCAGTTGGCTCTTTGCCAGTCAAAACAAAGAGTTATTCTGTTTTATAGGACAAGTTCGTAGATTTTCAACCAGTTTTATATTAGTAGTAAATGTAAATTAGCAATGTGTACTCTTTCTCCATGTTATCTACACCTAGTGCATTATGGGTGCTGAAGTATCCCTACCTTTTGGATGAAAGGGAATGCCATAGCCCTTTTTCTCTATTTTCTCTAGTCATGTAGTAAAAAAACAAAAAAACAACAACGCCTTCCTACTGCATAAACAGCCAAATTTTATTAAAAGCTCATCTTTCTAGCAGTGAATTATCCCTTTAATTGTCCAACACAATTGCGCCAAATTGTAGCCAGCTCACAGTTTATGGCCTACTACAGATTTCAGACTTATTTGTCACACTATCTTATCCATATTGTTCAGTTAGTTTTACTTTTTCTTTTCCAGTACTGTGCAAATCTTTGTTAAATCATTGGAAAAATGGGGAGGAGAATGATTGAGTAGGTGAGGCACAGAGTTTCTGATTAGTACTGCAAATGCCCACCAAAAAAAAAAACATCTTTAATTGTGTGCAGCATGACAAGCTTTCATGTTTCAGGTGTACCCTTGAATCAACTGAACTTATTGAGCAGTGCAATTTTGCCTATTCGTTTTTCTATATGTGGTCTGTCTCTACTCCCTCGTACAGTCTCTGGTATCTATTATAACTTTTAAAATGATAAGACTAAAAACTGAGGGGAGACTCCCCTCCTGCTGTTTACACTATTGCAGCTCTATGGGTAAAGCAACATCAATTCCCATTGAGCTTTAGTTAGGCCAAAGATTTATGTGAACATATCAAACGTATGTGTTTTAATCCATCCTGATTCGCCTTGTTAAATGGCGTGGGGGTGGGGGGGGGGGGGTTTGTGTGAATGTCTGATGCTAATACAATTATTGCGCTTCTGCTCGTGACACAGAAATTATATAATCACACAGAATTTACACACAGCCGGTAACAAGCAATATTTACATATTATATTGTCAAACTATACCTTTTTAAAGGGTTTTATTTACAATCTATGGGGGGGGGGGGGGGGGGGGGGGGTGTTTGTGTGAATGTCTGATGCTAATACAATTATTGCGCTTCTGCTCGTGACACAGAAATTATATAATCACACAGAATTTACACACAGCCGGTAACAAGCAATATTTACATATTATATTGTCAAACTATACCTTTTTAAAGGGTTTTATTTACAATCTATTGCATAATTTAACATAAAAAGTATGATAAATTATGATGAAAGGATGATTTATATCACTCCATATTAGGTCATGTAGACAAATCCTTATCAGTGTGCTCTATTATATAAGCATCCATGTGAATATACAGAATCTGTTTGTATACAAACAGTGGATTAAGAGATTCGGAGCTCTTGAGAAATGAGATGGCAAGAAGGAAATAGTGATACAGATGTCATATGATGGAGTATACGAGATTATGTAAACGTGCATATGAAGGGTTGATCTGTCAGAAATGATCTATGTATGTTATGTAACATCAGAGCACACAACTAAGCAATGTATTGTACATTGGTAAAGTTTACATGTCCTGTGTACAACATGCTATACATGCTAAAAATCTCAAATAGTTTTAAATGACATTGTGTTAATTCTTTTTTTATGATCATCAAGCAGTCTTTAAGATAAAAGTGTTTTAGAAAGTACACTGAATATTCATATTATTAAAAAAAACATTGGGCACACTAGAAGAGCATTTGAAATAAATTATAGGGAAAAGTGGCACATTCATACACACTGGAGCAATTTAATTTAATTTATTTTTAATGTAATGCTATGGCTGTCATCAAGCACAAATCATATTGAAGTTGTGATTATAGGAAGAAATCCTGTAAACTGGCCTTTAAAACACATCAAGGACACACATGCCCCAGTTACACAAGAGAGTTCTGTCATCAGCATGTCAGGCTGCATTAGTGTGTGCTGCAATGCGCTTGTGAAACTGAGCAGTATCACATCTGAAGCAGTGTATGAACATTATTTTAAATATATATATAATTATTCTTTTAAAATCAAATCAACCAACACTCATTGAGCTAGAAAGCTCAATTTGTCATATATCTGTGGTATATGTGTATGTGCTTGCATTAAAAATGTTGTTAAATATATGTTCATTAGTGATTAGCATTAAAGCATAAAAATAAAAGATGTAAAATATACATCAAATTTAAAATATATAAAATAAACAACATGAAATACTGTATAGAACTTGATTTTAGTCGTGTGTATGTCCACTCCAGCAAAACATTGAATCATACGCAGTAGAGGGTGAAAATCTGTCTGTTCTACTTCATTTCTCTGTCAGTTATAACATGAATCATTTGTGCATGAGGGTATGTATGTGTGTGTGTGTGTGTGTGTGTGTGTGTGTGTGTGTGAGTGAGTGAGTGAGTGAGTGAGTGAGTGAGTGAGTGAGTGCCCCTCCAGGCTTATGTTCAAGCAGACACTTTCTAATTTTCTCTGTGCTATTCTATTTCCTTTCATCCGTTCCTACTGTTTGTCTGGCGTGTCTTTTTGCTCACATGGATTATGTCTTTAGTTCTCCATCTCACAATCCCTCTAAAGCATAAACACCTCCAGTGTACAGAAACAACAACAAAAACACAAGATTTTATAAAATAAGCCGTGATATTCATGCAAGGTTAAGGTACCTGCAGCAATGGGTGACTCTCTCTCATCCAACAAATGAATGGCGCTGCTGGCCAAAACCACACTCTTATTCTCAGAGCCTGAAACACAATGATACAGTTCATTTAAAACAAATAGTATAGAGGAGACCAGGCCAGCACTTTCAGTTTTAATGTGGAACTGTGTTTTTTGTGTTATACTGATCTCAAGATCTGTTTTAAGTTTCCCACATTTTAACATTCACCACATCAACCAACTACTGTTAAATACTATTGCAGTAATAGCTGTAAGTCTATATTATGTACCATTCGTGTATGTAGCTTGAATTGAAATTGTTATCTGGAAAACTAATGGATATTTTTAAATGCCTTGTCACTTTGACAGTTTACATATATTTCCCTGCTTTAGAAACATTCGAAAAAAACACTGCTGATAGGGATTAGAAGTGAGAAAGACAAGAAAATTATGTTTTAAAGAGTCCATGTGAAAACATAAGGAAAGATCATTTCTGAATGAGAATTTGGGTAAATAAGACATTCATTCCAGTGCATTCCAGTGAATTTTTCATACTGCTACCACAAGAGTGCAGTATGTGTTGTCTTTTCCACAGACAATCGAAAAAGAAAATGAGGAGACAGAACACGCCAAACTGAAAAGTGACGTTGTCATAGATATTCTTGTGATAACAAAATCAAATTAAAATATTTACAACATTATTGTTTGACATAATTTTTTGTTGCAGTCTTTTTGAGTGGAAGTTCCTCAAATCAGAAATGTTATCCATAATTTAAATGGCAGTAGACGCATTTGGGAAAAGGTGGATATTATTGCGGTTTTATTTTGATAAACTGCAGAACTCCTACAGTAAAAAATGCTGTAACACTAGTAATTAGCATCCATGAATATTCTGTAATTTCACTGCATTTTCACAGTGTTCAGTTAAGATGAATGGTAAATAATCCATTGTTTATTGCAACGCAGGAAGCTTGTTTTGAGGGGGAGGAGATGGCGGTCTATCTAAAAAGATCTGTCCACAAAATAATATTTGTTTCAGTGAGAAAAAAAAAAAATGTGATGCAGCCATTTAGGCTAGTTTTGTGGTAAGCAAGTTAATCAAGTCTACACAGGGGGAGTAAACTATTATTCTTAAAGACAGCACATTCTTCAAGGGATAGTTCACCCACAAATGAATATTAGCCCATGATTTACTCACCCTCAAGGCACACTAGGTGTATATGACTTTCTTCTTTCAGACGAATCCAACTGGAGTTATGTTAATAATTGTATTGACTCTTCCAAACTTTATAATGGCAGTGGGCAGATGCTTCTGTTCAATAGTCCAAAAAGAAGTCCAATAAAGTGCGTCCATCCATACTAAAAAAGTGCCTCATATAGCTCCGGGGGTGAATAAAGGCCTCCTGTAGTGAATCGATGCATTTTTGTAAGATAAATATCCATATTTAAAATGTTACAAATACTTTTTTCTCACTTCCGCTGACTGTCATTCATGCAAGCCATTCCGGGCGGATGACGTAGGACGTAAGACGTATGTGTCACGCAGGCACCGGTGAGATATGCTACTCTTGTGAGTTTGTTTACAGGAGCAAAGGAAGCAAAGTTTCCTTACTTTAGCAAAGGAAAACCAGTCTCCTCTTGGCTTATATCGAAATCCTCTAACATTTTTCTTTACAAATCCTCGTTTTGTGCTTCTAATTCGTGACCGGCGTTTTGTTTTGCTATCTCTCCTCCGCGCTTACGCATTCAACACTAATCACCGGCATATGCATTAAGTGTGTACGTCCTACATCACCCGCCTAGAATGGCTTTGTCAGACTTATTGACATGTTTTGTTGTTTTTTTCATTCCCCGTGTGTTCACTGTGACCTAGTTTCTGTCTCCTGTTGATAGTGTCAATTGGTTTAGGTGTGTCTCATTCATTAGCTTTGTTTGCTTTAGTATTTAAAGTGTAGTCTGTCCCGTGCTCCCTCATCCGGTATTATTGATGTAATTTGTGGATTACGTTTGTCTCCTGCCTGCCTTCTGTGTATTACCCTCTTGTGGATTATTAAAAATCTGTTTGCATAGATCTTCTTCTTCATACGTGTTTTATGGACCATGCTTGGTGACAGGCTTGCATGTACGACAGTTAGCGGAAGTGTGAAAAAAGTGTTCTTAACGTTTTAAATATTGATACTTTTCTTACAAAAACACATTGATTCGCTACAGGAGGCCTTTATTCACCCCTCGGAACCATGAGATGTTTTATTATGTATGGATGCACTTTATTGGATTTCCTTTAGACTGTTGAACAGAAACACCGCCCATGGACAATTTTTAATATAACTCGAATTGGATTCATCTGAAAGAAGAAAGTCATATACACCTATGATTCCTTGAGGGAGAGTAAATAATGGGCTAATTTAAATTTTTGGGTGAAATTAACCCTTTAAAATATCACCTGCCCCAAAAAGCATTGTGATTCAGAAATGTGCAAAAGTCAACAAATGCTGCAATAAAGCAACTTCAGTAAATTAATGCACAGGTCCAGACTGATTGCTGCCCAGCTCTGGGCCTTCTCAGAGTGTTCACTTCCAACTCCCTCAAAACATACATAGTCTATTGCTACGTGCACCACAACAAAAACTTATCAATGGTAGAACTTTTGGTCAGCAAATGCTTGGAGATCTGGCTAGTGTTCCTGAGTATATATGAGTTATAGAACCCTGACCTAGCGCATGACACTTGTTGTCTATGTTTGTTGTGGGGTCCAAAATAAGTCTGCATGCTTAAAAAGTCTAGTGTAATGGTAACTTCACTGTGACATACTGAGAAAAGCTCCTCTCATCCCCTGCTTATGCTTAGAAAGACCTGTAGAGCATTCACCGTACCTGAACTCCATTTTTAGTTGACTGTGAATTCAATTCTTTCCGGCTTTGAACACTCCCTAGTCTAATTTTTCTTGTCTCTTAGAATATGATTCACATGAATTCCGGAATCTCTGTCTTTGGCTTTTTTGTTCTGTATTAAATGTTTTTTATACATGGGTCAGACCTAGTCTCTTATTCAAAACAGTTCAATTAGAGTTTCGAGAACATTATTTCTTATCCGGTTTCTACTGTCTTTGAAGTAGATGCTTTTAGCTCATCATCCAAAGGCAATTACTGAAGAACTGTTGTGGCACTATGTTAAAAAAGACTGCATGTTTCCATCTTTTCCATGTACATCTGTGTTATTTTTAACCAGAACACACCAGCAATAGTGGGGTACAAAATGATGGTGAGTGAATGACAACTTTGATTTTTGGATTAACTATTCCTTTAAACATGAAATATCTTGTGACTGTGTCATGTCATGGTAAATGTCTTGTGATTGTGTCACAGCAGGTTCACATTGAGTGTAGACAAAGAAATGACTTGATGCATTGTGCCTGGTTCAATCATGGTGCAATGCATGAATAGATGACTGCTGTAATGAAACTGGCTGTTTTGTGTGTGTTTAATCACCTGTGCCGAAAGGAAGGGAGTAGATAAAGGTTCCAGGCACCTGTTCAGCAGCCCGTTTGTACCACAAAGGAAAATGATCAGCACTGAACACCACCTCCTTATCCTCTCCAGTCAGGAAGTCTCTTACAACACACACCACACACAATACTCATTATTACAAGTTGTTATACAATTGATATTAAGCTAATAATATTTGACATTCTGGAAGATAAATCTAGGTTTACGTTTGGGTAACACTTGTCCTTGTGACACAAATTACTCAAAACAGCAGTTTGTTTTGTAGCCAGTGTTGGGGAAGCTACTATGTCATATAGTTTGTCTACCTACAATACTACTACTACTACTAAAAAAAGTTCACAGACAAGCTACTATTTAAAGAAACTTTCAGTTTTATGTCAGTCATATCAGTGCTTTATTAGATGCTGACACTTTGAGAACTCCTTTCCAGGAGTGACTCACTGAAGCCTAACATGAACATAATTCAAGCCAATTCAAGCTATTTTCCTTTCTGGTGATATATCCTCCATGTCGCCAAAAACAGCATGGAGTGCTTCAGTCCATTTTGGACTTTAGGGCCTTGGTTAGTACACTGTTGACATCTCCATTCAAGATAATCACTCAGATCCAGTGTTAATTTTGACAAGCATTTTTTTATTTAGTCTTAGTCTTTATCTTGAGACGAAATTCTTAATAGACTTAGTCACATTTTAGTCATTTTTTTCTTTACAAATTTTAGTCTAGTTTTAGTCGACGAAAAGTCATTGCATTTTTGTCAACTTTTAATCATTACTTTTAGACATTACTTTTAGTCAAACTGCAGTTACCAACATTTATTTTGGTAGCTATTTTATATGTAGTCTTCAAACAAAAATAGTCATTAATTCTTCTCTCTTTAGACCAAATCAATTAAGCTTAGGAGAAATCTGAATCATGGATTGAATTTAGAAAAACTTGAATAAATTATGACAATTTTCATTTTTGGGTGAACTATCCCTTTAACAGTAATGAAAAGGTAGCAGCTTATAAAAATTATTATTGTTCATATATAATATACATAATTTATAATTTTTGAAAAAGAAGCAGAATAAGACAATAAGACAAATATGAAAGAGATATAAATTAAACAAATTTTTCAGTTACAGTAGGTTTACTTAACATATTTATTTAACGTCTATTGTTAATTAACATTAATGACACGGATAGGTACTTAATTAGAAATGCTGTCCCTTTAAGACGGCAGGCATTCATGTAATTCCTCAAATAACATTATAGTCCCGTCTCGTCTTGTTAACAAAGACCAGGCATAAATTTCATCATAGTTTGTATCATCAGATATTAGTTTTAGCACATCAACATCTAGTCTTATTCACAGAAATAATGTTTGTTAAGGAATATTTTTTGTCGTCATCTTCATTGACGAAATTAACACTGCTCAGATCACAAAAAAACGTTCAACACCAAATTTTGTCTTTGGACGGACTCATCTTAGAGAACCTGAAAAATGTTAATATCTTATGTTAGAAGGTACAACATTTCAGTTCAAGGTTCAGTTCCCTTCGGCCTGTCCTTAGCTTCCTGTACTTTCACCAGATGCACACATGCTGCTCTAGCTCCGCTGAGGCTGAGCAGTGTTTACATTCTAAATTATTTGGATAATTTATCCAATATTTTTCAATTAAGCTGGTGTGTAATGAAAGAGATCAGCCTGTTACACATTTGGACTGCCTGGCACTTCAGAATTCTAAAGAATGAAACCCAACTAACCATGAACACTTGTATGACAGCACCATAGCTCTGCCACTGTTAATATTTTACAAGATGTTGGGCTTAATGAACGTTATGGCATCATCACCCTTTCAGGGCTGTTGTGCAGCAGACCCCTCTTTATTTGCATTTGTGCATTTGACGCTCTTTAATGTGACGTTCGCTGTTACACCTCAGTTAAAGAGGCACGTGACTAGATCATGTTTTCCTCTTTGCTACAAGTTATAAGAAAAAAATAAACATGAACAAACATCAGATGGTGTTGAAAGAAAAAGAACAACTTATTGAAATGAATTGTCTCTTAATTGCTCACAGTGTTTCAACTGTGTTTCATATTAGACACGCTCCAGCCTCCAACTCAACAATGATTTTAAGAATCACCTGAAGTCTCATCTTCTTTCCTTAGCGTTTGAGCCAGTAGAGAGTTGAGGTATTGTTTTAGTTGCCCTGTTTGTGTGTTATGGTGTGGAACTGTGTTGATTTTGTACAACACTTTGGTCAATGCTCTGTTGTATTAAAATGTGCTATATAAACTAACTAACTGCAGAAATATGTCAGTAAATGTAGATGTCATGTAACATCACATTTACTTCAGAAAAGACTTTCATTGTACACAACGTTGATAGTCAGCTAGAAAAATAACTCCAGAGAAGAGAATTTTGACATATGTGCAATATATTACATTCATTATATTTTACTTAACCTGTCATCTTCATTTTTTAATGTATGTTTGAATAAATCTGTCATGAGAATATACGGGAAGACTTCAGATTTGAAAACAGACTTCTTAGGAAATGTTTACTCAATGAAATCATGGCACAGTGACTTCAGTTGCTTTGATGTTTTGAGTAGGGGCGTTGTAATGGTTTTTGGGTCCCCTCCCCCTGTATAGCATATTGATGTGGGCCCCACTTAAATCACATTCTGGGGCCGGGGGGTGTCCCCCTTGGTAGAAATCACATTCAGGTGGGGGTTACATTGGGCCTCCTCTCTATTCAGGACCCTTGGAATCATCCTAGTCAGGGCAAGGAAAGTTTATTTAAATAGCACATTTCATACTCAAAGGTAATTCAAAGTGTTGAAAAATGATTTAAAATTAAATGAAACAGTTAAGAATAAAAAAAATGAAGATACATTAAAATACAATTCAGTAATTTGGACGTAGCCTTATTCGTAGCCAATTCCTTACAATATTGTAATTCAGGCACTAGGTAGATTTTAACCTGTTAACCTGCACCTGGACGCCAGCGCACTGAACAGTCTTTGTTTGCATGTGTCAATGTTTAGGAATAGATTAAATGAAAAGGGACTAAATTAATTCATCCAGATTTAAATTCGTACCAGATTCATCGTAACGTCACAAACGCATCCACTGCTGTAAATCCCGGTTTAGTTAGAAAGGTAAGGGTCCACTGAACAACATCCCATAGAGCACTTTTAGTCCAATGAAACAATAATGTTGTAATATGGATGGATATTCCTTGGTTTATGTATCATTTATTCGGGGAGAGTTATTGTTTGTATCCGTTATGGAATAACTTGCACTCAAAAAACTGCATCTTTGTAGTAAGAAGCAACATGGTTTTGTAGCATACAGTGTCACAAACAGAATGAGACCAAATAGAATTTAGAATTTAAATGAACACTTCCTAACCCAGGATAACTCAAACCACCAGTTACACACAAAACAAATCAACACAAAGTAAAAGAATCGTGCCATTCAAAGCTATAGCTGAGAAAACATAATTTATATATTGTTCACTTACAACAAAATAATTTTCAAACACAATTATCAACACAAAACAAATATCAACCAATTCTCACTTTAACCAGAGTTCTTTGATGTGGTATCAAACTATTAGTTCATGGGGGAGAAAGTTTGTTTTCAACAAAAAATTTAAATAAAAATTCTCGCCAGAAAATGTGTTCGTTCGTGGCAGGAACCCGAACAGGCAATGCTCCACTCAACAACCAGGCCACGCTCTGCAGTCAGCGCCAGGAAGATCCAATAGTGCAGCAAGTAATTCCTTTGTTTGACGAAATTAATCCTCTAATGCAATCGACTCAACTAGTGTGACTCACTCGGAGGCGGCGGCAGTGGCAGCGCTAAAGGTAAGCAGTACTCTACACCACACGTACTACTTCCTCTTTCGTTCTTACCGTCGGCCTCCCCGTATGTAAATATATAGTTTAGTCATGAAACTCTAGATGGTGCAGGCTGATGGGTCGTTAACGTAACTGATATTCAGAGAGTTAAACGATTTGGCACAAGCTGATTGGTTCATGCTGCATATGCAGCCAATGAGCTTACTGCCTTGCATTTATATGGCTGGCTAGCATTCACTAGAGATTCCTGCAGGGTGCTTTTAGAGTTTCTCTGAAACTCAACAGCTAAGATACGTAAACGATCTTCACTCGAAATCTCCAATGCTTTTAATATCTTCTGTGGGCATTCATTCCTTCATTAACCGTGAACGTATCACTTTCAGATTCACACCTCACTAATGGGGTTGGTTTGCAGTTGGCGTTTCACTGTTGGTCACAGTTTTAAGTCAAGGTGAAGCCGTATAACTGTCTTTCATAAACGTCATACAGTCAACAGCCTTACCTACTTAACCATAACAACTTAATGAGCAGCAGAAAATAATATACCCACTCATACGTGTACTCGTGCCGCATTGCAATGCACTCAGAAAAGGGAGCGCTCATTCTTAAAGGGGCCACATCGCTATTTCACTCGTTACCTTGGTTCAGTGATAGTGAAGAGTTTATAATGATTTATAATGAAGGGATAGTTTATGAAGTTGATAGTTATGTTTAGTGATAGTTTAAAGATAATCATGAATTTGTTTAAAATAAAAAGCTTGTTCTGACTGTTTGTATAGTCATTTAATTTGAGTTTATTTTATTGGTTGAGACGCATCATGTGACTTAGGTTAGAGGTCATGGCAGCCATCTTAGATTTCACTTCACAACAGCAGGGATGCAGCAGTAGATTTCTCCCTGATAAAAGCTATATACTTGTTATTTCATGCCAGAGGCCATCGTCTGTAAGTTTAATTGTTTATTGAATTTCATCTATTAAAAATAAGAAGATTGTTGCTCTCGCTCACATATTAACGCTAGATTGTATTTCCTTTCTTAAAAATTACTTTTACTCATACTTTATACTTAATGTATGTTTTGTGTTTGCATTATAGTTTCACAAAAAACGATGTTGTGTAACTGAAGATTTAAAGTAAAACACTGGAAAATAACTCCTTCAGTTTCGACTTTTTCTTCAGCCCTCATCCTGTTTAACTATCTGTCGAGGTGCAACTTACTTGCAGCAGGGACAGAATAGTGAAAAGACGCAGCC